CCCCAAAACCCCAAAACCCCAAAACCCCAAAACCCCGTAAGAACTGTTAAAAATTGCAAATAAATTATTATATAAATATAGAAATAAAATGAAAAACAAGGGCAAGAAGAAGACTAAGAAAAACGGCAAAAGTAATTAAAGGTTTATGACCAAGAGGGATTTGTATCAGTAGAGAAATTAAGGATTTTTGGGGTATAAATGGGGAAATAGGTTCTGTGCTGGTGGGTAAAAAGTGGGATGGGTAACAATGTTTGGTTTAGGCAGAGCAAGAAGAAGTCTGATAGATTTGGGAAGCAAGATTGAGCATGAACAGGAAGAAGATGAGTAAGTGGTGGGTGAGATTTAAGTGGGATTTTTGGAGTTATGGAGTTATGTGTGTTGTGATTCGTTGAGTGTACCGGAATTAGATATATAACATAATCATTCTAGTGCAAAGAGTGTGGGAGACATGTCTGAAAGGGAAGGTGATGACCAAAAGAGTATGAACAAGAGTTCAGTGAGTAAGTTATTTCTCAGAATATGTATAATTTTTAATTATGGAAATAATTCTGACTCAACCCTTTTCTAGAAACCTTGGGGAGATACTCTTCTACTGGGAACATGGAGCTACTAAGTATGCACAAAAACAGATTAGTCATTGAAAAGGATGCTAAGATGTTAGCCAATCGTATCTCAATGCTTCAGATGGAAGAGGACAAAATTATGAAGAAAATAAACCAGACTAGAAAGCGCGCTAACGACATCATGAAGGCCAAGAAGCGTAACGATCAGATGTTTGAGCAACGGATGATAGAGCGTGAGGAAAGGCTACGCAAGGAGGATGATGACCGTCAGAAATGGCTCAATGACAGGGTCCAAAGGCAGGCTAACAAGGATAAGAATGTAAAAGCTATTAAGAAAGCTAAGAATGAGGAATACAAAATTGGTAAAACCATGACCATACAGAATGATATCTATAAAAAGAAGTTCCTAGCTGGTCTCAGGAAGCAGAATAATATTAAGAAGAGCATGGTTAAACAAGAAGAAGAAGAGAGAGCTAGGAAGTTTAGGATCATGGAGGAAAAGAAGAAAAAGGAGAACCAAGAGGTTTATAGTACAAAGTAAGCATCAAATTCTAAGCAATTCTCCTATATTTTACTATAAACAATGAGGCACATTTCAAATCCTTAGATGTGCAATTATTTGAAATAATTTAGAACTTGCTAATAATTCTTATAGAGTCAATGATGAGAAGAACAAGATTTTAGAAAATGAGAAAAGAATCAAGGAAATGGAGAGAATGGAAGCTGAATTATTGAATAGACTCAAAAACTCTCAACAAATGGAGCAAGCCGAGTATGGAAAGTTAGAAAAAGCTCTTAAGGTCAGCAACCAAGCATGTGAAGAAAGAAGGAAGAAAGTCAATAAAATCAGAAAGCCAAGACCTGCTGAGATTACAAAGTTGAGGAACTCAATTTCGACTCACCCGAGTGAGAAAGCGTCGAATCCATAACTTCTCTAAAACGGATGATTTGCTGGCTTCAATTAAGTGTTTTCGCCCCGGGGTTTTGGGGTTTTGGGGTTTTGGGGTTTTGGGG